CTGGGGGAAGGGTGCACAAAACCTCCGTGTGTATGTGTTTTTCAGCTGCTTGTTTGTTAATAAGTATTTCAAAGTAAAAAATAAAATTTTAGAAAAAGGAAGTGTTACTGGCATGTGACCACGCCCACTTGTTTATGTGTTGTCTGTGGCTGCTCCAGCACTCCGGTCGCACCGTGGAGTAGTTGTGACAATTGTGGCAGAGACCATATGACCCACAAAGTGAAAAATGTTTACTGTCTGGCCCATTACAGAAAAAGTCTGCCAACCTCTGATCTCTGCCAGTGAAAGCTGTTTTTTGAAACTGGGTGCCTTCAGTTAATCAGCCCGCACTTACTGAGCGCCTTCCATGCAGTCAGCCAGGCACGCTGTGAGACGTGGGCAAAATAGGAAACGTGGCGTTATCTGTAGCCACGTCGTATGTGACATAATAAAGACTGAAGTTGTACCAAGCATATCTTTAGAGAATAAGGAGGCATTTAATGTACGAATTTGATGCTTCATGCAGCATGTGAAAAGGGCACTTATGAAAAAGAGCGATCTGGTGGGAAGGTGAGCAAAGACTCAGAAATAGAGTGTGATGTGACATGGGTGGGGGCAGGAGGTGTCGGGTAGAAGACAAATAACAGATTGTGGGAATATACAATTAGAGATCATGTGATGTCTTACCCTCATTTTACATCCATTTCTCTCACATTTGTATTCATACCTGTTTCTGTGCAGTGATAATAGCAATGATAATAATAGCCAACACTTAATGAGAACCAGGTGCCAGTCACTCTTTTCAACCTTTACTCTTTGTATTAACTCTTTAAACCCTCACAGCAACCCTATGAAGTAGGTGATATTATTGTCCTTTTACAGATGAAGAAACAGAGGGATAAAGAAGTTAAATGACTTACCCAAGTTCATACAGCTAATAAGTGGCTGAGTCAGGAGTCAAACCGGAGTAATCAGCCTCCAGAGACTAAACTCTTAGCTGCTGTGCCTCTCACACTATCCAGATTATTTATGTGTCTCTGCAAATCTAGATGAGGATTTTCACAGGGGCAGGGTTTTTTCTGCTCATTGTCTATATCCAGCGCCTCACACAGCACTAAATAAATGAATCAGTTCTTGAAAGCTACATTCCAAAAATGACTGGTTTACCAGTTATAAACGGAACATTTAACCTTTTGTATTAAATGTCTTACTTGCATGATAAAGTATAGAAGACACCGAGATGACTCAAATAGTCAGCTGCCCTGCATATGTGAACAGTCTTGCTTTATTTTCCTATAATCTGAAGTGTAAGGGACAAGAAAATGGTAATTAGGAAAAAAAGAGGGAAACTTGTCTAAGATTGTAAGTCATTAAAGCAAACAAACAAAAACAGTGCTGATTTACAGGCTTACTGGTGCTTGTAGGAGACTTGGAAAGTCATCTGGTCCAACCTCCTCATTGACCAGGGAGGATACTCAGACCCGGAAAATGAAGTGGCGTGTTCAAGGACACATCACATTTTAGGGGTAGATAGTTAGGATTAACAGACATTTTAATCCAAAGCTAGAAACATTTTCAACTGTATTTTAAAAGGATTTCATCCAGAAGGATTACAGAAGGGGTCCAGAAGGCTTTGTGGGCTTATATTAAACCATTTCTGAGAAATTCTAATCACTAAATTTTTACTCTATTTTGAAGGTAAGAAGTCCCTGAAACTTTAACCTACTATTCAGTTATTGTGGTTTATTATAATTTTTTAATAATCAAACATAAAAGTTTGACATTATTGTTGTGAATACCTGAAATTTTGAAATTAAGAAACCTTTTGTAGATACTTGTCCTTTGGGATCAAGAGGACAATCTAAATAACTATTACCTCTTGAACATTTTTTTCTACCTAGACTATTCCTATTCTTGGAAGTTATCTTTACCCAGAATAAAACCTATGCAGATTACATGATCCAACTCAGTTGGCCATGCTCACGCAATGGTGATGGTGAGGATTGAAAGGAGGCCAGTATTTACCAAGCATTCCCATGTGGCATGTACTGAATCGAGCATATTATATGGATTCATTTAATGTTCACACAACTCCATTAAGTTTTTTAATTTATTATTATTATCATCATCATCATCATCATCATCATCATCATCTTCATTTTACAGATGAGGAAACCAAAGGCAAAGTAACTTTAGTCCAGAGTCTCAGAGCTGGCCAAGTAGTGACAGTCAAGATTTAATTAGGGTACCAGCTTCTAGTTTCTGGTAGTAGGTTATTTGAACCAACTCTTCTGTTGAAAAACCAACTCTTCTGTTGAAAATGCTAAATAAAATACTTTTAAAACCATCTCAAGTGCACTGAGGAGCTAAAGAGTCGGATTCCCAGGACATTACTCAGATGGAGTCCTACAATAGAGGGGAGAGCAGAACGTCAGAGCGACAGAGCTGCCTGTTCCTGAGGACGTTTGCCCATCCCGCAGCTGCGAATGATATGGGGGCCCCCTGATGGCAGAGGGTCTCGGGGGAGGTCTTCCCCATGTCACACCGGGAGGTTGAAGGACTCCCCTGGCCATGCGCCCTGGGTGCAAGAGCAAACCAGCTTTAGAGCTGCTCTTCCTCCCCCATCCCAGGGAGCAGAAGAGAAGGCTTTTCAGAGCCAAGTAGAGAAGCTGGAGAAGAAGGAAAAGAGGAAAAGTTGTGGCCATAGACTAACTCTGGCACAGATTTGCACCTTGGATATTTGTATACGTGACCTGACTTTGAAAAGGAGCTTCATGCTGAGGATGTCATTTGAGGTGGGCACATCCACCCAGGGCTTCAGAGAACCTCTCCAAATTTTTTTTTTCAAGAGCAGAAACTAACAAGCAGTCAAAGAAAACCGAGTACACAGGGAAACAGAGCAACGTGAAGAGGAACCAGCAGGAACAGGAGCTGTGCGCAGACTTCAGATCACAAATTTTCAAAGTGACAGAGTAGATCTGAGAAAATCGCAGACAAAACTACCAGATAAAAATAAAATAAACTCAGCATAGTGAGCACCTCAGCATATTGAACAGAGCAGAAGAGAGAATTAGTGAACTGGAAAATAGTCTGAGTTAGAGCATCCTGACTCCAGAACCCTTGTTTAACCAGTATGATCTTACTGGCTTTGTGACATATGTTTGTGATATATGTTTTGATTACATACTAACCGAAAGTATTTGTGCTTACTTTGTTAATTTTCTGAGTAGCCTAACCCTGAGCAGAAATTCCTTTATAGGATGAGATAAGAGATGTATCTTGGTGTCTTCCTGCTTGTGACAAGTAAACCTTGGGCGAGCACTGCGTCACAGCAGTAATCTCATTTTGTTAGCTTGTTGTAAGAATAATATTTCTCCAGTGAGAAGCTGTCAGAATCTTGTCCTTAAGGAGTGCTTCTGTCAGCTCCTATCTGTGACCATTATCACTTTTGCTGTTTTTTTCTTTTTAAGTTCAATTTTTCTATGCTCTGTTTGCAGATGACGGTTTCATTTGTTTCCATAGTTTGGGGGCAAATGTGATGATTGTATTTAATCTTATTGTTGGTCCTGCCAACATATTTCGTATTAGGTTCCACTTTTGCTTATTTGGTTTTTTTCTGTGCTCTGGATGGAGTGCTGTATATTGATAACTGTGAGCTAGTGGAATGAAGAAAGGGAGAGGGGACAGAAAGAAGAGACAGGGAGGAAGGCAATATTTGGTCATTTCTTTAACAATTGTGGAGGACTTTAGGATTTTCATGTTTGCTGGAAGTTCTCGATGGACGTGAATAGCAATCATACGCGGGACAGTTAGCATTAGAAGAACGCTCCGGGGAACTCGGTGATTAGTTCATGCTTAAACCCAAATGTGCGGTAAACGTGTATTGCGTCCCTTTAGTCAGCACACGCTGACGGTGCACCAGCTGTGTGCCAGGCGTGGTACTGCGTGTGAGGTGAGCAGGACACTCTCTTTGCTTGGCCCTTGAACGGGGCCCATAGAAGAAGCATTCACAAAGCAGAGAAGAGGAAGAGAGATCATTGCCTCTGCAGGAAACATAGAAATGTTTCATGACTGTAGCTGAGTTTGCCAGAAATTCACCCAAAGAAATTATTATTTGAAATGAAAATCCCCAGAGCCACCCCTAGAGATTCTGATACTGGGTGGTCATTTGTAATAAGCACCTCAGGCAGGTCTATGATGGCAAGTCCAAAGGCTGCATTTTGAGAAATACCAGACTGAGGGTAGGATGTGGCTCTTCTGACTCCCAGTTCTAGGGACTATTTGCTATACTGGAAAGAACCCTGACTTTGCAGTCAGACATGCGTGGATTATCTGAATAAAATATACGCTTAATGCTAACCCAGAGCTCTAGACTCTGGCAAGTCACTTAATCTTACTAAGCCTCAGTTTTGACATCTGTAAAATGAGGGCAGTAATATTTGTAAGATTGTTATGAAGTGTAGAGGATGCAAAGTATCTAGCCAAGTGTCCGGGACATACTAGGTGGTCATTAAAAGATAGCTATTATTATCCTTCCGTAGTGGGTCCAAGTTGAACTTCTATGTGCCTCATTTTCCTTCGCTGTTAAATTGGGATGATGCCAGTACCAGTCTAATATGGGTGCTTCTGAGTCTGAAGTGAGATATGCATGAAGAGCACATAAAACAATGCCTGGCACATGGAGATTCTTCAGTAAACACACAGAGTGGTGATGTCATTGTTGTTGTTGTTGGTGGTGGTGGTGGTGGTGGTGATGGGGACGACGGCATTACTCCTGTAACTGGCTGGCCAGTGCCATGTGACTACATCGTAGTCTATGGATCTAGCTAGAACTGGAGAATGGGTTCATTCATGTATGAACAAGGAACTTGAAAAGTGATGCTGTGGGGACTTAGAACACAAAAGGAAAAGTATTAGGGGATTGGAATGACCGTGTCTGTTAGCAGCTGGGAGGAATGGTCACATGACACATGGCCCTTGGGAAGAATTATTCTCAGTAGGAAAGGGGCTTTTACAAATTAAAGAAATAAATAAAGGAAAGGAAATAAGGCAGTCCATCCTGCTACCTCAGGGTAGGGCTTTGTGTAATTTCATGGAAAGTGGTCCCAGGAGAAGGCAGTAAATACACTGAGATAGCCTGGTCAGTGGGGGTGGGAAGCAGGTTACGAAGTTCAGGGTCCCAACGAAGCCAACCACCCAAGATGTGGGACTGTGCCAACTCACCTGAGAGTATCTGGCCCCCGTCTTCCACACCTCTGGTGTATCCCCTGCTGATGAGTTGGTGAATGTCTTATTTATTCTATCCACAGTGGACAGGGCCGACTCTGACCCCAGTTACTCTTAAGGGCTCTCATGGAAGCTTTTGAAGGATGATGGCTATGGTGGCTTCCAGGCACTGAAGGGATGGCACAAAGAACAGAATGCCATACATGGGGCCAAGAGGTGTGGGTCATGGTCCTAGCCCTGCCCTGACTCACTCTGTAACCTTGAGCAACCACTCCATCTCAGCGAGACCTCAGTTTCCCTTGTTCATTTGTTCCTGAGCTCATTCAAAAGACTTCTAGGAAGTCCCCTACTGAATGCCAAGTCCTGGAGGGTTCGAGAGACCAGGCAGCACCCACTTCAGTATGAAATTATTCCTGTTAAAGTAGAGAGTGTGCAGATAATCCCTGGACCAGGTATTTGCTAGATATCTTGAATGGAAGACCAAGGTCTAGAGTCCCAATTGGAACTTGCAGACTGCTCCTTGGTTCATATCAAAAGAAACCCTGATAAATGGAATAAAATGTTGAGTAGTAGGTGAATCTGGGGAAAGGAAATACGATGTTCTTTGTACTATTCTTAATCTTTCAACTTTCCTGTAAGTTCAAAGTTATCTCCAAATGAAAAAAAAATCAGAAGCCCTAGTGATTCAGGCCCATCTCTTAAAATGCAAGTAAGTGATAATATTATATAACATGTAATTTGCCAGTGCACAACTAAGACCACTGGATTTGCTGGGAGAGGACCTCCCAAGTTCAAGTCTCAGCTCTTCTGCTAGCTTAGGACTTTGCCTAATTATTTCACTAATTTCAGCCTCTATTTTCTTCATCTGTAATATAAAGATAACAGAGTTTCCCTCACAGTGTCTTTGAGGATTCAGTAAGATTATATCTATCTATATTACCTATACAGTGTCTATGTATCATATAAAATTGTTTTTCTTTTCATAATAAGCTGTGTAGGCATTGAAGGCTCTCTGCCTTAGCTGAACTCATGTTGGTATATGTGTTGCCTGGAGTAGCTTACATCAGCCTATAAGCTCCCTTCTGTTTCCTTCCAGCCTGAAAGAATTTCAGGGGAGCAGTATGGAATCCATTCTGATGTCTGGAGCTTAGGGATCTCTTTCATGGAGGTATGTTCTTGTTTGCAAATAGATGCTTCTCTGTATATCTGTACTAATACGTTCTATCAGGAAGAGTGAAGATTTTGAAAAAAAAATTAAACCTCTGGTGTGTTATGTGTGTATGTAAACAGAGTTTAACTCAGTAGTCCTTATTTTAATGTCCTTGCAGGCTTGTGAACTGTCTGTTCTAAAGTGCTGTTTGTCACAAATCACCTGTATGCAACTTACCTGGAGTGCTTCATAAAAATACAGATTCTCAGACTCCATCCGACACCAGTTAAAAATTCACATCTCTAAGAATCAGCATGATTAACATGCTCCCCATGTGATCCTTCTGCACGCTGAGTCTGGAGAACCTGTGTTTTAAAAGAGAAGTTCCAGGAAAATTACGTGTGGTAGCAGCCTTGTAGGAATGCATATGTAACTTCCAAAGGTGATTACTTTATTAAAGAGTACAGCCCTACTCATTTGGATGTATAAATTCTGTATGTTTGTTTAGAAAGGAAAAAAAACCACCTTGTTCCAGTAGAATCACATCATGTGTTGGGGGACAGGGTGTGGTGTGATTAGGAGGAGGTTATGCCCAGTTTTAATGTCTTTCCTCTTTCTAGCTGTATTTAGAATGGACTTTATCTTAGAATGCTGCATGTAGCCCCACTTGAACTCCGTGCTGAGGTGTCTGTACAGTAATGATTGATCCAGAAGGAGATACGTGGGATTTATATCAGAAGGACATCTGGCTCAGCATGAATTATGGTCGGATAGAGTCTGGATATTCACCAGTGCGTCAAGAACTGTATTTTGCACGCATTGATTCAGATAAAGGAGGACTCTTTTAAAAAGTAGACAGAACTCCTTAAATAAAATCATGGATAGAGTTGCAGTCACAATTTCATCATTTTTTTTTTTGGTGAAGTACTTTTTCTGTGATTTTTGTAATGCATGAATGCAGTTGACTTTCTAAGGAAATATCTTCAGACTCAGTTCACCTGCACTATAGAAAACAAAGATATTCAAAGTTTATTAAGCCATATTTCTCTGCTTCTTTATAAAAGGGAATCTAAGAGCAAACACAATAATGTACGCATCAGTTGAGAGGTCAGCGGTAAAGGAGGAGAGATGCTCAGAACTGACTCTCCTGAAGGGCTTGTCCAGTTAGCCTGTTTCAGGGGGAAACTAGTGCTTTTGATTTGTGGAGCTCAAGTCTTGCTGTCACATAATTTCCCTTTGCCTATTTTAAATCATTGTCATCGAATGTATTTGATAAACAACCAGACAATACTATAAAATGTTTGTGAAGTTCCATGGTGTAAAGATAAGAATCCTAGACTGGGAATGAAAGACCTGGTTTGCAGTCCCAGCTCTGCTGCTGGTTTTCTGGGTGACCCTGTGCAAGCCACTGCCCCTCAC